CAGTATTCCAGATGGTTTGGAATAAGGAAGTTAGTTCGCGAACAAAGCTCGCACTATCGTCTTTGAAAAGGGCCGGAGGGAGCTCATCTGTTTCGGGCGATTTGTGGCGTTTCAGAAGTCTGAACTCTCGAAAGACGTCCTCTGTAGGCGACGAAATGTCCACAGACGATGGAGCACTACAGACATCGAGAGATGGAGGTGATGATGTCGATGGCCAACTGAATTATTGATGAAAGTTCTCCGCCCAGCGCCCCAGCCGACATTATAGATTGTGGATACATTCACCATTAATTTCGCATATGGTTTCACTAACGCATCGTTTTTGTCACCAGTGGCTCGGAATAGTCGAAAGCATTTGTGAGCATTACCGGAAGCAGAGGCTAGTTCCATCTCGGAAGCTCGTTTTGCCCACCAGCTCTCTCGACCCTCTTTTAGGAACCGTTTCAGTTCAGCACTGAGAGTCCTGCGAACTGTGTTGTATGCATTGCCTGGAGAGATGCTTCGACGAGTGTCAAGCAGTTGGAGAGAACGTGCCGAAACCCGGTGATTGCCTGTGCGTTTGGTGAAGCCACATGTTGTGGTGGCGGACTTATGCATAGTGCTACGGATGTGAGTCCACTGGTTGTCAGCGTTCGAGAATGACAGACTCTCTAGATCAGCAGCTAACGTGTTTTGGTAGGCGGTAACGTTCGGGTCGGTCAGTTTTATCAAATCGAGTCCTATCCGGTGATGTTGCTGTTTTCCGCCAAAGCATAATGTTGCATACGTGAATGCAGCTTAAGTGCGTACGTTCTGCCAGTCTGCGCATCGATAATTTGCTCGTTCCGCGGACGTTATCGATTGATATCTACTCAGATCGATCACACTCATGCAGTTGCATAAGCCGATACTGCTGGCCCACATGGGCCCGATCCTGATTGGATGTTAGTTCTATTCCTGCCTTGTTGAACATAAGTTTGATTGTGAACGATCATAAGAAGTTTATCCTACCCGGTGTACTGTTGTTCTACTTTGCTAGCGGGCTACGGGACCGAGACTAGACTGTGTGAAATCTAAACGTAACAAATGTCGACGGGATTATTGAACTATTTCGCGGGAGTTCAGCCCTTTTGGCCCATTGCCGCAGGAAAACCCTTACTACAGATTTGGCTTTGTTGGAAAACCACATTTCAACAACAAATGACAATTTTCCATGTGCCACGTCCGAATATTTCCCTCACTGAAATTAATTGGATTATGCTTTTTTCACCAGTATTCAGAACAGCAAGGTCAACGCCATTTTCGACGCATTGAACTTTCTGGAGAGGCTTTCGATTGACGAAGCCGTTGCATCTTTTGAAAAGCTCCAGGGCTTGGAACAAAATGTAGACACCGGGCGATATCATTTGTTGAAACTACAACAACGGAGTGGAGAAAGTATCAACGATTTTATCTCTCGTATACATCAGACTATCCCTGAATGTCGATTTTCGTCAATTCAACCATTTCGTATTGAAGCAACCATGCTGATTCAGTGTCTCATTGGTGGTGTATCGAACGATCTTACATGAGACAAGCTGCTTTTGGATGATCCAGGATAGCTCACGTGGGAGAGAGCGCGTATTATCGCACGTCAGAGGGAACTTATTAAGGCGACACTGTCAAACTTCAACGCTCACAGTTCTCCTGAACCAGTTCAAGATGTGCAATATTTCAACGTCCCAAGCCACCGTCAATTAAATTTACTTGTTGCAGATGTGGTTCTGGTCACACTTCTCCAAATGAGTGCGTTCATCAGCGCACGAAATGCCGGAATTGCGGTAAAGTCGGTCACCTGGCAAGAGTTTGCGGATCTCACTCACATCCATCGGGTATCAACAACCTTTCACCGAACTGTGGTGAGTCACTTGATACTGATGCAATAAATTTTAATCATGTGTGATCCACAAACGACTTTCAGCAACAAGGTGCCACCATATCTAGTCAGTGTTAAGGTAGATGCTGTCTCAGTTACGATTGAAATAGATACTGGATCAAAGGTAACACTCATTAATAAAAGGTCGTTCAGTTCTCTACCAAAGATAGAACCATGTACTATCACTTTCAAAACATATACAGGAGAAGTCATTACCATCCTAGGATAATTCATAGCCCGAGTGAAACATGCTGGTGTGAGCCAGCAACTGCCGGCCCATCTGGTTGATCATGTCTGAGTAAATTTGCTCGGCAGAGACTGGATTAGGCGTCTACTTAATTTGTTAAACAAGGTGCGATTGGTCTGTGAAGGTTCTCTAAAAACAATTCTTCTTTCGTGATCCAGGCCTACACGATGGCGACTACCCTGGAGCGGCGCGTTACAGTTTCAGGACATTTGGGATCAAGCATATTTGAATGCTGACGTCAATGACACGCGTACGGCTTCCGACTACACGCCACAGGCAAATCGTGCCAGCCAATCCAAGACAGTGCAGACAGAAGCCTGGACAACCAATAATCGTCTGTTGTACATATTATTTAATCGCCCTCATTTCTTTCAATAAACGAACTACGTACTACCATTCCAGTGGCATTTTCCTCGCGTCTCCTTCACCTGGGATATTGCGAGCTCATGCCTCTGCGGTCCAGTGCTTCCGTAATCCAGTGCGTGACAATTACTCCTTGGTTCGTGTCCGGTGATTCCTATCGCTTGGTTTGCATCCCAAATTCCATGCGTAATACTACTACTACTGCAATCATTTCAGAATCCTTCCAAGCGTAATGATATTTTAGTTTCTTTGCTGAAGGGTGATCAATATATTGATGTGATGAACTGTCGTCAGCATGTCATTAACAATGTTGAACAAATTTTCAGAGCATAATCCGTCAGATACCTTGCAGTCAACATTTCCTGCAATTTTTCTTGGTCTCCTCATGTCTTCGAGATATATCACAGAGTCAGAAAACACAGATTTTACATTATTAGTTTGAAAATATTAACTTCCCCAACTAATTTAGTAAAGCGTTTTGTTTTCTCTTATATCCTTCCCCACCGGCTTCATGCATCCTCTGTTATATTTCTGGGTCTTTTTATCAAAGACTTCAAACTCATACACATCCAACAAACACGTATGTCGGTACAGCGGCATATCTCGTGAGTATTTTGTGCAGTTTATCATTTCACAGCACCTTAGGGCTTGCTAGAAACTTTTCACCAGACTACTACTTGACCCATCTCATTCACTTTACCCTCACCTTAGTGTGGTGATCCAGGTCTACACGATGGCGCCTACCCTGGAGCGGCGCGTTACAGTTTCAGGATATTGGCGATCAATCACGTTTGAATGCTGACGTCAATAGCACGTGCATGGCTTCTGAATACACGTCATTGGCGGATGGTGCCAACTAATCCAAGACAATGCAGACAGAAGCAAGATTATGCAAGCAGTACTGCAATCCAATTGGTGGAAGCCCAGATAGCCAATAATCTCCCTTTGTACGTATTATTTAATCATCTTTATTTCTTCCAATAAACGAACTACTTACTGCCAGTCCTCTGGCCTTTTCCTCGCGTCTCGTTCTCGTGGGATATTGCGAGCTCGTGCCATTGCGGTCCAGTCTGTGATAGCTGATTGCTGATTCGGGTCCTGTGATTCATATTGCGTGGCTGGTGTTCCGATTTCGGGCGTATTACTACTACTACTATAATTATTACACTGTCTTACTAATACACGGCTACAAGATTCGAGCACCGTACTGAAGATCGATTCACCGTCTCTAGATACTGCAAGCTCGTTTACTCTCCACCTCTCTGGAGATCCAATGGCAGAGGCCGCTGGTCAGGCCGGCGTGGAGATAGCACTAGGCGCACGTGGAGAAGCAGTTTTACTCGACTGTATTCCAATTAATAGTCAACTCTGCTTCATCCGTCTAAAAGGATCGGTGAGTGCATCTCGTAATGGGACGAGAAAGCTGTGTCTCTTCGTCATCGTGGCTTATGCGACGACGAACTGCAGTTCTGACGCATAAAGAACGAGTTCTTCCATCCGCTCACCAACCTCCTCCGCACTAAACGACACAGTGACAACGTGATACAAGCCGGCGAATTGAACACAAGTAGGAAGGTTAGACGCTGACGAAACCTCACTTGGTGACCAGCACAGTTTCGGTGTTAGCAGAACTAACATCGGGGACTGTCTTCTGTAAATCTGCAAATTATCGATGCGCGGACTGCAGGAACGTACAAAACTTAAACCGCAGGCACGTATGCAACATCTTCCTCCAATCTAGCGTTGATCATTTCCCAGGAACAAAACGGTCAATTGGTTTTGGTGAACGTGCGGGCTTGCGGACAGCAACCGGTTCATCGTAACCGGACAGGGCTTATGTTGTGTCACTGTTTGTTTCTTCGTGATTTTCCGAACTCTCATTTGAGTATTCAACAGTGATGGTATCGGCCGGGCGCGAACGCACATGATCCGTGTCACGACGGAGCGTCGCCACAAAATCGCCAAGCTCTATGACAGTTTGCAGTCCGGACTGGTTGAGCAATGTACCGGTAACCCAAACGCCCTCGTGGGGCAATTTCGTATAAAATTTAGAATTAAGTTCCTTTTTCTCCGAGGATTTGACGTTTTTGCTTTTTTGCGTGCGATACATGTGTCATCGCATTGATTCACGTGGGTCAGGGAAAATAAGGTCTATTCGTGTCCTCAAACCTCGTTCAAACATCCCTCTTCCGGAGTTTTAGTGATATATTCTAAAGGTGTCGTCCGATATGGAAACAGAAATCTGTCCAGCTTGGTCTGTAATAACGCTGGTCGCTGCTTGCGCAATCCGTTTTTAACTGTTTGAACGGCTTTCTCAGCTAAACCATTGGATGATGGGTGATAGGGTGCTGATGTGATGTGATAGAGACCTTTACATTTCCGAAAATCCTTGAATGCTGCACTGGTAAACTGAGAGCCGTTATCTGTACATAGTGTTTTAGGCACCCCGTATATGGCGAAACCTGAGCGCACTTTGTTGACGGTGCACCCAGCAGTGATGTTGGGTACGATATGGACGTCGATCCATTTTGAGTAGGCGTCTATCATAAGTAACAACATATTCCCCTCAACGGGTCCGAAGTAGTCCACATGCAGGCGCTGCCAGGGGCCATCCGGTAGTGCCCATGGATGTATCGGTCCTGTTGGTTTATTATTTTGTTGTTGTTGGCAGTAGTCACAGCAACGCATCAATTCCTCGATGTCGGTCCAGCCGAGGCCACCAAACGTATGATCTCGCGAGTGCCTTCAATCGTACTTTAGCGATAGGCGGATGCAATTACGCGACCTGCGTCAACGATCCGATCTCTTATTCTCCCGTGTTTCTCGCTCACCCAGTATGGATCAAGAAGAGCAGCCGGTTAGTCGAGGGAAAGTATATTGTTCCCTGAAAGCACCGGAGTTTAGCCTGACTATGCTCGAGAGTGTCTGAAAGCGAAAAGTGCTTAGCNCCAAAGTAATCCACATGCACGCGCTGCCAGGGACCATCCGGCAGTGCCCATGGGTGTATCGGTCTTTCTGGTTTATTACTTTGGTGTTGTTGGCAATAGTCAGAACAACGCACCAATTGCTCGATATTTTGGTCCATCTGAGGTCACCAAACGCGTGATCTCGCGAATGCCTTCATTCGTACTACACCTGGGTGGGCGTCGTGTAGTTCTTTCTGCAATTTGTTCCTAACTGGTTCTGGGGCACTTATGCGAGAACCTCTTAGTATGCATCCGTCATGCAGACTCAGTTCTGAACGACAATTAAAGTAAGGACGAAGTTCCTCCGTGACTTTCCTCTGCCAGCCGTGCAGCATCATCCGTTTAACTTGGAACAATACCGCGTCTCTGTCCGTTTCGTGTTTAATCTCCACGCTAGATGTCGGAGAGTTATCCGAGCGTTGCAGTTAGTGCACAAACTCCACATGCACTTCGTTCAGCTCGTCAGCAGTGGCACGAAGCGGCCAACGGCTCAAGGCATCAGCAACTATATTTTTCTAGCCGGGGACATAGCAAATACGGTAGTTGTAGGCTGAGAACAGGAGCGCCCATCGCACCATTCTGGGTGCGTTCAATTTTTCCATTCCTCTATTCCCGCCTAATTGCAACAGCAACGGCTTATGGTTAGTATGTAGTTCAAAACAGTTACCCCAAAGGTATTGGTGAAATTTTTCGATACCGAATATGACGGCCAGTGCTTCTTTATCGAGTTGGGGGCAGTTATTTCCCGCCGGCTCGAGAGTGCGTGACCCAAAGGCCATCGGCCGATAGTCCCGTCAGAGTCTGCGTGCCCGAGTACGGCGCCTACCCCAAATGGTGAGGTATCACATTGCGGTAACTTCGGCATTCCAGGATCACAGTGTACTAATACCTTTGGTGAGGTCAGCAGACGTTTAGCTTCTCCAAATTGTTGCATACGCACCTGCGGTTTGCGTGCATAGGTTCGGCCAACATGAGCATCGGTAATTTGCTCGGTCGTTATTGATTGATATCTATTCCCATCAACCATCGCACGCATTTATCCATGACAATACTGCCGGCCGACATGGGTCTGATTATGATTGGCTGTTAGTTCATTCGCTGCCCTGCTTAACATATGCTTGACACGGTTGATCGTGAACGATCA